TAATATCAACAATTTAAATTTTTAAGACTCAAGAAGTCCTATATATTAAACAATTTAAACTAAATTTCATATGGCATTTCTCCAAAATATCAAATGTTTGTGTGATTGTGGTAACACTTTGATGGACGCTTATGATAAGTGTTCAAAATTGTGTTCTGTTTGTGGATGTGATGAATACCTTGAAAAAATGAAAAAAGAAAAAGAAGAACACAAGTCCGAAGAGAAAAACACAGACAAAGACCCACTTTTAGGCTCCCCAGAAGTTCAACAACAAATGTTACAAAATCAAATGCTTTATCAAAACCAAATTCCTTCACCTAATACTTACTCACAATATAATAATTTGCCAACACAACAAATGAACACTCCAATGGCTTATCCACCTTATGATCAACAATTGGACCAAATGCAATATCAACAACAATGTTTGATGCAACAAATGAATTACCAACAAAGTGTTGGCTTAATGCCCACCTCTCAGAGCCAACAAGTACAACAAGAACAGGCTGTTCAAGAATTGGTCGCTTCTCATGATAAAACAATCAATCAAGAAATTCCAACACCAACACAATAATTCAAAAAAGTAAATAAAAGTTAAAAATTTGATGTTTCATATTAATTATTATATTTATAAACATTAAAATATATTTAAATTATTAAAACATTTCAATAATGAATAATATATATAGTATGTGTTTATTATTCAACATATATTAATACAAACTTATTAAAATAAAATATAATACAGTTCGACAATTAACATAACTATTTGTCGTTATATTAATTGTCAAACAAGTCTATTTGTTTCACAATTAAACAATCATGTTGATGTACGACGATTATTTTTTGTTCTCGAATCTGTACCTTTTGTTGAATTTAAACTAAATTAATACTTAAAATTAAAATTAAATATTGAAACAAATATTTAAAAAAATCACTCATTAATGACAAATAGAAGCCTTTGATTGTAATGATAATCTGTAAAGTAAATTGTATCTTGATATAAACATGAATTAATACAATTTGTTAATATTTTGTGTAAATATCAAAATATTAATTAAAACAATTTAATGATTGTATAGTAAAAATATACAATTATATACTAGTTAATATTGGTAAGAATTAAATAAATTATATATATAAAATGACTTTTAAATGAATAAAACATTATATACAGAATAGTTCGATATTTAATATTTTTATAATATATTAAACAATTTAATTTTTTTGTTTAATTTATTCAAACAGAAAGTAGTAGAACAATTAAAAAAACTTGATATTAAAAATCTACAATTAAATATATTTAATGGATAGCATTCGCAAAATTATTACTTTTGTGACTGCCCCGATCAAAAATTTCTTTTCAAATTTTTTTCCAAAAGATTTTCCAAAGCGGAAATTGTTTCCCTTACTTTTAATGTTAATTATTGAAGCCGTTTCACAGACTATAATCAATTCGTACATCGGTTACTTGATAGTCGACATGGGGATGGTGACATCTACAAATCAAGCTGGACGATATAGTGGCTGGCTGATATCATCATTTTCTATTGCGCAGTTTCTGAGTGCCTTTCTGATTGGTGCGATGTCGGACAATTTTGGGCGTCGTCCTATTTTATTAATTGGGACTTTTGGTATTGCCCTCTGTAACATATTATTTGGGTTTTCGACGAATTATTATTACGCCATTTGTGTTCGTTTGATGTGTGGATTTCTGAATGGCAATGTTGGTGTTATCAAGACGTATATGGGCGAGTTAACCACCGACTCCAATCGCGTTCAGACGTTCAGTTTTGTTGGACTGTGTTGGTCTTTTGGTGCTGTCTTTGGCAATTTCCTTGGTGGTGTTTTATATAACCCCGTCCGCTTATATCCAACACTCTTTCAATCAGCAAAGGTATTCAAAATGTTCCCCGCCCTTCTTCCTCAGCTTTTTGTGTCTGTTTTAGGTTTTTTCAGTTATGTGATGGCCTATTTTTATTTACTCGAAAACACGAAAAACTCTTCGAATGAAACTGAGAATATAAAAACAGCTCAAAACAAGTGCAAAAAGTTTGGCGAGTCTTTTAAAAAGACTTTCACAGGGATGTCCCACTTCTTCATTAAAGAAAATTTGTGGAGCTTATGTGCTTCACTGGAATATGCGTGTTTGGCATTTTTAAATACAACGTTTATTACTATATATCCACTCTTAATGATAGCTTCAGTCGGTCATGGGGGGCTTGGACAGACGACAGAAGGTGTTGGCTACTTTGCGGCAATCTCATCTTTAGGAGGGTTCTTCACACTTCTTTTTCTATATAAACCATTAGTGAACTATTTAGGACTTCGATATACTTTTATTCTCTCAAGTGTTATTACTGCGCTATTTTATGGCATTTTCCCTTCACTAGAAGGCGTGAATGGGTCTTCGAAAATGGTTCAATGGAGTGTTTTTGGAGTGTATGCGTTTGTGTGGAATGTGTGTTCCCAAAATTGTTTTAGTTCAATTTCAGTGTTAATTGTGAATGGAACAACAAATCAATATATGGGAGCCGCAAATGGAGTCGCACAAACGTTCGGATCACTCACTCGTGTCGTTGGACCAATTTGCGTCTCACCATTTTTATCATGGTGCTTAAATAACGGACTAAAATACCCTTTAAATCAATATATGCCTTTTTACTTAATGATGATATTGGGAATTACTACGTCCGTGTTAGTATTTGCTTTTCCATTGAAAGTTGATTTTGTGAAGAAAGAAAAAATTGGTGCTGATGTTAAAGAAGAGAAAAAGAATAATCACAAATATAAAATTTTGAAGGAAAAAGAAGACAAAGAGGGCGATTTGGAAATTGAAATGAATCAAGTCAACGAATTGGAAGGGGAATTTTGTGCGAGTATAACTGATAAAATGGATTTCAAATGAAGTTAATAAAATATCATTTTATATTTCAAATTTATAAATGTTATGATATTTTATTATATAATAGATGTTACTAAAATAATTAAAGTTATCAAAATAAAGATAATTTATTGGATGTATAATAACATTATTTTTATTAGA